AGGAAAGCTGGGAGGAGAGCCTGACCGGCCGACAGCCCTCAACCTCTCCAGCTCCCCCTCCACGCTCTCCGGCGCCCCTCCCTACCTCAACCTGTAAATTATTTTAAATTATAAGGACTGCATGGTAATTTATAGTTTATACAGTTTTAAAGAACCATTATTTATTAAATTTTTGGAAGCAGCCTGTGTGCCGGCCCTCCAGTCATTTTGCCCAGGGTGACCGTCTGCAAGCCTTGGGACGGAGGCTGCAGGGAGAAAGGTACACAGCACCCCCTGGCTTTCCCTCAGACGCACCTGTAACCCTCACTCTCCCATCGCCCCCCAACCAGCCTTGCCACACTTCAGGGAAGGCTAACCGGGTTCAGATTAAATTAGCCTAAGCCGGGTGTAATTAGGAAGGGAAGTCTGCTGGATTGCAACTTTGTTCTGCATTCCAGAGCCAAAGCTACCTAATCCTTGGATCATCCAGCCCACAGCCCGGATTCCCGAGCCTTGATTGCTTCATCCGGGGAAATCTGTGGAGCCTCATCAGAAGGCAGATCCCCGCCGCCGGGCACAGGGCTGCCTCTGACCTCAGAGGGGCCCAGGCTGGGTCCTGCAGGGACTCACCAGATAGACAGGAGGGGACTTGCACCAAAGACCGATAAGGCTGCCTCATTTTTTTAGGGGGAGATCTGCTGTTTGCTGAAAAGCTCCCTGGAAGAGTTGTAACGAAATAATCTCAGGAGGCCTGTCACGGTAGATCTGATTTCATGTTAAGATTGCCTTAGTTCTAATGGCTGGCCCTCAATTTATCCCCCAGTGGCTTCCTGCAGAAAGACTCCATTACTCCAAAAAACATGAAGGCCTCCAACACTCTTGTCACCCATTCACGGCCCCGCAGCCACTTCCAATGGCCCCGACGTTGGCCTAGAATCAGAGGAACCAGAGGCCGGCCTGAAACTAACTTTTTAATTCCTAATTGGGTGACTTCCACAAGTGACCAAAGGTGGATGGGGTCATGGGAACTGCAGAGAAGATGGTGTGGGGAGAAAAGACAAAGATGAGTGAGAACCAACACAAACAACGGGGAAAGGGGTAGAGGAGAGGTGGGCCAAGCCAGAAGGGAACACGCCTCTCTGCTCCCCCCTGACAGAGGACACTAAACAAGAGGGAGAGACAGGGGAGCAAAGGGGTGTGAGGGCAGGGAGCACGGGCAGAAAGAGGAGGAAGATGTGTCATCTTCACCAGCATCAGGATCCCCAGGCTTCCAAGAGATCCAACACCCTGGGTAGTTTCCTGTTTTTGTTTAGTTTTGTTTTTTTAGAAGCCGGGGGATGTGCTTATTATCACTGACTGTATCAGGAGTGTCTTAGAGATAGCTGGAGATGACAGGGACTCCAGGGTACAGCCTGGAGCAGGGCTCTACCCGTTCTCCAGCTGCTACCTTCCCCGGCAACTTTTATTTGTCTGTATTTTGTTTTGTTTTTTGTATTTTCCACAAAGGCAAAAAACTTTCCCCCTTAGAGCACTTAGCTCAAATGGAAATTTTGCTTTCCTACCCTTCCCCTTCCCCCGCAGGGTAAAATGCCTATCTAGTTTGTGTAAGAACAGGCCCAAATTGTCCCTCTGACAAAAAAAGCAAATGGCGGTATTCATTCATCTGTAACTCTCCCTGTCCCACGGCCCGCTGCCCCAAAATCCAATCCAAACAGGGCAAATTAGAAACATAGACAGCTTTGGCATGAGAGACATTTGATTAAGGTGAAAGCGTGACGAAATGGGCCCTGTTTTTCCTATCAAAGCTACTGCAATTGGAATAAAGATTTACGTACAAAAAACACCAACCAGAACATTCTGTGCTAAGATACTTGCTCAGATAAAGGCTGCAGGGAGGGAACCGTCCCGCTGACCTGTGTCTGTGGCTTTTTCCTGGACTCCAGTGCCAGTGGCCTTGGCCTTCCTGGCCCCTCCGACAGACAGTTCCCGGGGGGCCCTTCCTCCGAGGGCTGGACAGGCCTGCTGGGGTCCTAGATGTGGGGAGAGAGGGCTGCTGAGGGAGGCATTCAGGAAGCTTCTGCGGGGAAGGGAGGCTATGTTTGTGAACCTCTACAACGTCGTAGAGAGTCTGGAGAACCACCGCCAGCCCTGCAGGACACTGGGGTGACCTGGACCCCACCGCCTGCCTAGAGGGAAGGCAGCCTCTAGCCGCTGAGGAAACACCGAGGCTGAGGGTGGGGTAAAAGGAGGTCCTCCCCACCCTCCGAGTCCCCCCACTCCCCACCAACACCACAGCCTGCCCCAAAGGCAACATTTGCTCCAGGCCAAGCTCCGGAGTCCCAGCGTGGGAGCCAAAGTTTTCACACAATGCGAGGGAATATCAGTTTGGCTGAAAAGAGTCCGAACGATCCAAGAAACAACCTGGAGCTGGTGGCTTCTCTAGCTTGTACCCTGCCCCCAACACAGCGGGGAGCTCTGGCTTCCAGACCCACCCAGGCTGCCCCCCAGAGGCCGGCCATGTCTCCAGGGCCCCAGACACTCGAACACATTGAAAAAACAGCTCAAAACTGCCCGCTATATTCGGCTGAAGAGCAGCAGCTGCAAATCCCTCAAACTTTTCCTTCACTTGTCTCACTGAGGTCTTCTTACCCGGGGTCCCCAAACGCCCAGCTCCCTCTCCCCTCCAGCACGCCCGCCCAAGAGAGGAGTGCAGACCCTGGCTCGTACACAGCCTGACACAGCCCAGCCCTCCTAGCAAGGCCCATGCTAGCCTCAGCTTGAGGCAAGACTCCTCGTTCTGGGAGACAAGAGCAATATGGTGTCTGATTCTAGTGTATATTTCAAGTCTGGCTCTGTGACTTCCCCCTCCCTCAACCACAGGACCCGCCTGCCCTAGATCTGCATTCCCTCCTAACAGGAAACCTACCACGGGGATACAGCTGTTCAGCAACAACCAAAGGGCTATTTTCATTCCCATGAAACATAGGAATGCTCCTTCTAAGTCTCACCACTTTCCCCTCAGCGTAATCTGCATTAGGGGCAGAGGGTCCGTCCAGCCCTGGAGCGCAGAGGACAGGGAAGGGCCGGGTGTTCTCGTCCCCTTGGAGAAAGGGGACGGTGAGGCTGGGGAGCAGACCTGAGTGGAAGCGCGGCTATCGAGAACACAGGGGCCCATGCAGCAGTGACCCCGGTCTTCCTTTCAGAGGCCTGACTGGAGCAGTGGGAGCCCCCGGGGCCCTGGTGCTGAGGAAGCAGCCCAGTGTGATGGTCAGAACACTGGGCTTGGCGTCAGCTAGCTTTTAGGCTCCGCTCCCCAATTCCTATCTGTGCAACTTTGGCAAGCTCCTCTTTGACCTCAGTTCCTGCAGCTGTGAAATGAAAATAATCATTCCTAGATCCCAGAGTTGAGAGCATGAAGCAAAACCAACTATTTGAAAGTAAACAGTCATGTTCTATACAAAGGTAAGGCAAAGTAATTTACTCTGCACTTAATAATTTCTCTGTTAATTGTAGGAGAGTGACAATTATGCTAGTACTCACTAAATATATGTTTGTTGGCAGATATATAGATCGGGTAAAGGAAATCTTCTGACTAGTGGACATCATGGAATACAGGTGTGGCACAGCCAGGCCCCAAAGGGTAAGATCAAGAACAGCAGCTCTGGGCTTCCCTGGTGGCGCAGTGGTTGAGAGTCCGCCTGCCGATGCAGGGGACACGGGTTCGTGCCCGTGTCCTGGAAGATCCCACATGCCGCAGAGCGGCTGGGCCCCTGAGCCATGGCCGCTGGGCCTGCGCATCCGGAGCCTGTGCTCCGCAACGGGAGAGGCCACAACAGTGAGAGGCCCATGTACCGCAAAAAAAAAAAAAAAAAAAAAAAAAGAACAGCAGCTCTTCAGCCCAGATTCTGCTTGAATCTGGGCTCGGGAAGGCCACCTAGATTCTACAGTTTCTAGTGTAATGGTTAAGAGCATGGGATTTGGAATCAGACAAGCAAAGTACTTCTGCTTAGGCTGTGTGACCTTAGGCAAGTTGCTTTGCTTCTCTGAGTTTCAATTTTTCATCTGTCAAATGGGGATAATAATAGTAATATACATGTGCGTGTGTGTATATATATATATATATATACACACCTAAGAAGTATATAATAAATTTTAATGTTGAAAAGTAGAGGTGGCTGAGAAACCCTGAAAGTTTGTTAGAATGGGGTGGACATCTTTCAACAAGGCAAGGAGGTTCGTGAACAGACAGCTTTACAGATGTATCACAGGTTCCTTTTGTGACAAGCAATGCTGATAGCGACCATCAGCATTTACTAAGAGCTTGCTCTCCACAAGCACGGCACTAAGCAGTTCATGTGGATTAGCTTGAGCCAGCCTCTGGGTTCTAAAACCAAGACCACCTTAAGGAGAGCACCGGAAGGCTGTGCTTTCTGTTTGCGTGCATCACTGCCACAGAACTGCTCCCTGGCTCTCTGGGATATGTTTACTTCCCCAGCCCTTGGCAAGTTTATAAACCATTGTCTTTTTTTTTTTTTTTTTTAACATCTTTATTGGAGTATAATTGCTTTACAATGGAGTGTTAGTTTCTGCTTTATAACAAAGTGAATCCGTTATACATATACATATATCCCCATATCTCTTCCCTCTTGCGTCTCCCTCCCTCCCACCCTCCCTATCCCACCCCTCCAGGCAGTCACAAAGCACCGAGCTGATCTCCCTGTGCTATGCGGCTGCTTCCCACTAGCTATCTATTTTACGTTTGGTAGTGCATATATGTCCATGCCATTGTCTTTGAGAGTTTCCACGTGTCAAGCACGTGGGCTCTGTTTTGCTCCAATTCACTTGCGTCTGCAACTGGAAAGCTCTGACCTTCTCAAAGTTCACCTGGATTTGTGGAGACGGCTCAGGGGCCCCAGGGCCAAGATGAAGATGGGCGGGCCCTCTCGCAGCAGCAGCCTGAGGAGAATCCCTCCAACCCAGGCCTGTTCCTTAAAATCAAGGAAGTGCTCCATCTGTGTCCCCTCAGCACCTGGCCCAACCTTGCC